GCCGGGGAGCAGCAGGGACAGGAGGGGGGAGGATGGTGCCGGAGCAGACGTGTGCAGCACGAGATGAGACCGCTGAGGAGCAGAGGAGCAGAAAGACGCTGGTAAGGGAGAGGTGGCGGGGACGGAAAGGAGGGGAGCAGCCCCCAGGGGAGCAGGGCCGAGGGGCGCGACGGACAGCTGGGAGGTGCACGAGATGTTTTTGTGCGGTTATTCAATGCAGCGATTCCCTGTCTGAATGGCGTGTGTGTGCTTGAGGGGCTCAGGGCAGGGGTCAGCGCTGCGTCTGTGCCCAAACGCGGTCCAGTTTGCGTTACCGTGTTAATGCGGGGCTTTGCCAGCCGGTTCTCTTTCTGTGGCAGCAAATGCTGGGGGGCGAGGGGGTTTGCTGATGCTCCCGTGCCCAGTGCCAGGCCCAAGGAAACAGATGTACATGGGAGATGCCCCAGGGGGCTGTTTGTGTTATGAATTTATGCAGCTTTCTGGCAAGGCAAGGAAGCACAGGGTCTGCTGCTCCTCTGAGGCTGGGCTGTGTTGGTTCGTGCAGACGTGGATGTGGCGGACGTGCCCGGCCAGAGGGGAATGGCCGGAGGAAAGGCTGTCTGGGAGGGAGCTGGACAGCTTGTGCTGCAGGCTGTAGCACGAAGAGTGCCCCCCTGCCTCGAAGAAGGGGAGTCAGGGGCACCAGGATCCCAGCACAACCTCCATCATTTGAGGTTTACTCTAGAGCTGGGGTAGGGGCTATTCTTCCAATTTTCTGTGGTCCCATGGTGTTTAGCTCTTTTGAACATACCAGCAAGGCTCCGTTTGTCCCAGGTCTGAACAGTGAAGTCGCACGAGATCAGGGTTGGTTTAAACAGCACATGCAGCAGGGAGGTGAGGAGGGAATAGGGAATGGCAGAAGCGATGGAAGCCGTGCTGTGTATCCTGCCTTGGAGGTACAGACAGCCCTGCAGACACCTCGGTACCAGGGATGGCTTCTCCTCTGTGCAAGAGATCCTTAATGTTTCTACCCCTGATGGGAACAGGACTTGAACCCACCAGTGCTTTGTTCCTTGACTTGAACTCCCAGGGGGAGCACTGCCTGCATGGGAGCCTTGGCCACCTTGGCCAGGTGGTGGAGGATGTGAGGTTGGGGTCTGTTACTGTGATGTCCAGTGAACCAGTGGGCACGTGCCGAGGGAGAGTACGGACATGTTTTTCTTGGCCTGGGCTGCTTTGGTTTGTGACAGGGCCCCAAGGATTGGTCACATCTCTTGGTGGCCTCCACTGTGGTGCGCGGGGCACGTTTTCAGGCACATGGGAGTGGGACGCCAGCGGAAACAAAGGCAGCACGTAGAGGAGGCGGTGGAGAGAGGGGCTCCTCATGCCTGAGCGCCGCTGGCTCTGCTGGCTGGGGCCCTTTCCCGACAGCTGGGGCTGGCGAGGGAAGTGCAGTGCAGCGACCAGCTGTCTCAGCTCCTGTCAGCTTGATGGGAGCTGGCTCGCGAGGGTCGAGAGCATGTGGAGGGGGCTGTGATGCCTCCAGGAACTCCCTCAGTCCAAGACTCTCATCTAATTCATGGATTTAGCTTTTCACAACCCAGAAAGCCACATGCCTCCTTTAGTAGCCCTTCCAGCCCTCTGCCCCCTTCAGCACTTTCCATCTGTGCATAGTTGCTCTGCAAATAGCATCCATGTTGGGTCCTAACGAAGATGGTGAGAGGTGTAGAGCTTTGAGCGAGGCAGACGCCAGGCTCTGAAGGCCGTTTCGGCTCCTTAAGTGTGATGTTGGTGTTGGCACACTAGTGATTCGGTGGCACATGCCTGTCATGGTACCCAAACACGGCTGGGATGGGAGCAGAGGTTGAGTGTCTAAAAGCCGAGATGAGGAACCGTGGATCTAGGCTGGCCATGATGCAGAGACCCTGCTGTTGTTCCTGAGAGAAGGCTCTTAGGAGAAGGGAATCCCTCCCTGCAATATCCCCTGCATCCCTTGCCTTCACCCATGATAAGTGCTCTTGCATGACCTCAAGTGCTCAGCACTGACCTTCCTTACTGTGAGGGAAATGAGCACACGAGGCATTGGTAAAGGATAGTGTCCAGTGCTAGCTGGGATTTGCTCGTTTCAAATGTCGTGATTCCATGAGCTACGAGAAGGTAGCGAGAGGTACAGTAGATCCACGCTTCCTTGGCTGGGCTGAACAGAAACGAGAGATCAGGTTCAGCCAGTTACACTTGGCTGAAGTAAGCGGAGTTGCACCAGAGCTCAGCTCCCTGGTGTCTCCATTGTCAGCCCTTAGTCACCTAGGTTAAAAACCCAAAGAAAATAAGAGAAACACACCTCAAGCCTCAGTTATGGTTTTATTAGTACGTTACTAGTGCTATTTCACGTGTCAAGTCACTGGAAAGAGCAGGTGCTCATTGTCTTTCCAAAGTCTGGTAAAGATCGGGGCACGTCTTGTCCTGCTCCCACCCAAAGTTTGGCTGGATGAGAAGACAAGGGGAAGGATGTTGTATGTTTGTGCTGCCCAAAGGGCAACACTGGCCCTGGCGCTGTGAGGCGCGAGCTGTTACGTGTGCACCTCAGTTGCATTCATGGATGTGCTTCACTAGGATGTGAAGCAGCCGGGAGGCAGCCCTGGCACCGAGGGATGCAGGCTGGAAGTCGCCCTTTTTTTCTTTTCTTGATATTATCACATTTCTCGCTCTGCTTTGCCCGCCTCATGTTTACCCATTACTGAGGCTATTGGGTGGCAGTTGGCAGTGTCCCCAGGCAAGCGTTGCTTTGCCACGTGCAGCTTGTCAGATCTGCCGTCACTTTTCACCCTGGGGTCTCGCTGCTGCTTGCTGCGCCAGTGCTTTGGGACGCCACCATTAGAGCTGCCAGTGGAGTGCTTTGGGCACTCTCTAATTCTCCCCACTTCTCTCTAGTTTCACTTGCTCTGTCCCTTCCTGCCTTTACGGGCTGTGGGGTGGTGAAACAGCATCGCTTCAGCCACGTTGGCAAGGGGGTGAGGTGAGGGACACCAGAGCCCACAGTCATTCTGTCCGTCAAGGCTAAAGTGACCAAGTCTGAGACCCAAACCTAAATTTCTGGAGGCAGTGACGGTGCTAAAGAACAGAGTCCTTGGGCCACAATGGCCATCAGCTATGCTTGTCCTGCCTGAGTGGGCAGCTCCAGAGCAGCCATAAATTGGGATGAGGAGACTATGTCCTCCCTGCTGTATGTCCCCACCGGGACTTTGCATCTGGCCTGGCTGGAGATGCCCAAGGATGTTCACATGTGTGGTCATGCAGCCAGAGGCTGTGGGGGGCTGCCCAGGAGCTGCGTTGCCCACTTGCAGTGTAGAAATAGGTGTGAGTCAGCATTGCCCTAAGCTCAACACACTGGATTGTAATGTGTGTGTCTTTGAGCGTGTGCCCCACGAATGAAGGTAGTTAAGCCTAGGAACAGAGGTCTTCCTTGCTGTGCCTGGAGTACCAGTGCCAGAGAGCTGCGGGGTGAGGACAGCCGTATGCTTGAAGGCATCTATGGCTGAGTGGGAGCTGGGGCTGGTTTTGAGGAAATCCTGGCTCTGTGGGTTTGCTTGTGGTGTGAATCCCAGGAGTATGTTTGTTTTAAGTGGTGTCGAAAAGCGAAGTCTGTGATGTCCCTAGCTCAGGCATTTGTGAACGGCTGCTTCCCCTTGGGTTTAGCTCGGAAAGTATGTGAGAAGAGATGTGTTTGCCAGGGTTCATGCCCACCCTCCCTCTGCGCTGGGGCCTGGGGAGGGGAGTGCGCTGCTGTGGGGGTGTGGGCTGCGAAGGCCCAGGGGTGCTCAGGTGGAGGCTGGATGGATGGAGCAGCCAGGCTGTGTGGCCCACAGTTACCCACAGCCACCTGTGCTGTCAGCACCGGACCATGTGCTGAACCCAGCCTGAGGGCAGTAGCTGGAGGAGGTCCATGAATCCCATGGATGAGCTGCGTTCACCTTTTGGGACATGTGCTGCACGAGCAGCAGACACGGCACAGGCTGCATCTTTGCTCCTGGCTGCAGGACGCACGCTGCGCACTTGTGAAACACACCATTGGTTGTGTTGCTCCTGGCATGCACTTAGTGCTTGTACAGGGTGTGTGCCATGCTCAGGGGTGGCTGTGGCTCTTACGTGGTAAGAGGGTGCTCGGTGACAGTGGGCTGTGTCTGGGGAGTGGTTAGGCAGTGGGTAACGCTTCAGTGATACCATATGTAATAGCCTCAACAAAAGCATCTCACCTGTGTTCTCAATACTTGCGCACCTTCCCGTGCTCCTTGAACTTCAGTCTCTTCAGAAATAACACTGGAGATTATTCAGGATTTTCTCTTGCTCAGCCAGGAGTGGCTGTGACACAGCAAGAAATAATCCTGTCTCAGGTCAAACAGGAGCCAAGCCACTGAGCCTTCCTCTAGACATGGCTCAGGACACCGCAAGCCCTGGGGTGCTAATTACAGAGAGCTGTCCGTCATGTACTGCAGGTGCCTCTGGAGGGAGAGATGCAGAAATGGCTCTGAAAGACCTGGGGAGAGGTGACATTTGGTGACCTCGCTGTGAAGGGAGAAGCAAAGAGTTAGGAAAGTTGTGTGTCAGTAGCAGCCCCAGATGTGCTCTCTGGTGGGAACGGTGGGATGTGCCTTTTCCCTGTGCTCTCCATGCTGGGAGGCTGCCATGAACTGCTGTGTTGGCTGGTGAGAGCAGGTGATCAGGGCTGTGGCTGGGAGGAGGTGGCCCTCTGTGCCCACTTGTGGGAAGGGCAGAAGTCCCTGAGCCCAGAGGATGTGTGTGCCCTGCCCTGCACCACTGCCAGGGCAGGGACCAACCTCTCCTCCACCCCTGGGCTCTGCCTCAGGGGCTTTTTGAGTCCAACTCCCTGTTGCTGTGTGAGGCTCGAGCAGGAGGGGTGGCACAGCCTGACCTGCTCTGTCTCTGCTCTGCAGGACCACGAGAAGCAGTACGTAGGCTTTGCCACTCTGCCGAACCAGGTCCACCGGAAATCCGTGAAGAAGGGTTTCGACTTCACCTTGATGGTTGCAGGTGAGACTGCCCATGGATGGAGTTGGCTGGGCCACATGGTGGGTGTGTGGAGGGAACCAGCTCTCCTCACTTCCCTTATGTTCTCCCTTAGCACCTAGATCCTCCCCTTGCTCGGCTCTGGTGCTCGTCTCAGACCTTGCTTTGCTCCCTAGCCTGTGTTGCAGTCAAACCATTGCCCCAGGAGGGATGGGCCATCCCTGACCACTCATAACCCTCTCAAGTGAGCACTGAGTGTAGCTTCTCCGTCAGCAGAATGGCTGGTCTGGGTGGTGAAGGCAGGGTCAGCCAGAAATCGAGGGAAAGGAAGAGGAGGGAGGATGGGGAAGCCAGGAGATCACATCTGTACAAGGATTGAAACATCTTGCAGCAAAAGTTCTCTAACTGCTGGAAAAATGTAATGCCCATAAACAGCTTCTGACAGCTCATGTCTCTCACTTCCTCTGGCTCAGGATTCAAAGCCTCGTTCAGAGTTTCATTTGTAAGTTGATTAGTGGGTCATGTCACTTGCTTTTCCCTCCTCCCCTTTGCGCTCTGTCAATTAGGAGAGTCGGGTCTGGGCAAATCCACGCTGGTGAATAGCCTGTTCCTGACAGACCTCTACAAAGACAGAAAGCTCCTCAATGCAGAGGGTAAGTTGGGGACAAAGAGGGATGAACAGTTCTTGTGCCCACGGATTGAGACTGGCTGGACCCCAGCCCCGTTTGTTCTGCTCTGCTCTCCTTTGCTGGCTGCAGAGACACTAGCAGTCAATCAAGAAGGGTTTGGCTGTAGAACTCTTCTGTACTATGAAGGGAAGGTGAGGCTGCAGAGCAGCACTAGCCCTTTGGGTTAAGATGTTGAGACTTGTCTTTTGGTTTTGGGTGCTGGAGTGTGGTAGGGATTCCCCCTACCAAATGAGTGGACAAAACATTCGGAACAGCTGGGCTACAAGCACTTCAGAGGCTTGTGTATCTTCTCAGAGTCTGTCTGTCTGTCTGCTGCTGGCCTCCTGCTGTGCCACTCCCTTGAGGCTCCTTAGAGGATGATCAGGGTTTTTTGAAACCCGTGTTACTCCCTGTGCTCAGTGATAAGGAGGGAGACAACTTGTTGTGGATGTGAGTGGGGATCCCCAGCGTTACTGCCTGGCTTTAACTCACATATTCCTGTTCAAAGAGAGAATCAACCAGACAGTGGAGATTGTCAAGCACACGGTGGACATTGAGGAGAAGGGTGTCAAGCTGAAGCTGACCATAGTGGACACACCAGGCTTTGGAGATGCTGTTAACAACACTGAGTGGTGAGCAGGCCACTGCTGCCTTCCTCCTAGTCCTTGGCCATGTTTGTTTTCTGTGGGTGCTTCACAGGAAGGGACTCTGGCAGTGGGAAGGGGATGATGCTGCCTCACAGTCCCTAGGAGACACTGTCCTGTTAAACACATGATTTTGTTTTGATTGAATTACCCTTCCCAGCTGGAAGCCCATCACCGACTACATCGACCAGCAGTTTGAACAGTATTTCCGTGATGAGAGCGGCCTGAACCGGAAGAATATCCAGGACAACCGAGTGCATTGCTGCCTTTACTTCATCTCGCCCTTCGGGCACGGGTGAGAGCCCCCACTCTGGGGCCAGGGTATGACTCCGTCCAGAGGGAAGACCCTTGTGCCCCAGGATTGCCCTGTAGCCGATTGTATATTGGCAGGGCTGTTGGCACAGCAGAAGAGCCGTCGAGATGCTCTCCCTCTGCTGAACATCACACCACCTCTCTCCCCTTCGATGGCAGGACAGACTGCCGTGATGGGCAGAGCTGGTTGCCCTCAGGCTTTGCAGCCTGTTTTGGAAATCAGGAGAAACAATGCCACAAAGACTTGTGTTTCCTATCTACTCAAGCCTGACCATGGGTAGGAAAGGCAGTTTTAAGCTCCCTTCTGTCCCTGCCCCTCGCTGGCTCATGTGCCAGCCTAGCCGGGAGTAGCTGGAGGGGCCATGTTGGCTGCCCACAGCACAGGGCAATGGAAGGAGTCCCTGGGCTGTGGCCTGGGTGATATTTGGCTTGCAAGGGAGTGAATACCCAGCCTGTGCCTGTGAGACATTCAGCAGCTAAGATCTCAGACAGCTTTCCTGACGATACAGCCCTAGCTGGGGGCTGTCCCTGCGCTGCCCCAGGCTCTTGTGACAGGGCTGTCCTTTTCCCTTCATGCTGGGTGGGTGGGAGAGGCTGGAAGGGGAGCTGCCCAGTGTGTTCTTGCTAACCGTGTCCCTCCTTGTCCCTGCCGCAGGCTGAGGCCTGTGGATGTTGAGTTCATGAAGGCTCTGCATGAGAAGGTCAACATTGTGCCCCTGATTGCCAAAGCCGACTGCCTGATCCCCTCCGAGATCCGGAAGCTAAAAGAGAGGGTGAGGTGCTCTTTTTCTACAGGGGTGTACCTGATGCGGTGGCAGGGATGGGCTGAAGAGGAAGAGAAGAGACACAGATATATATTGAGATATATGTATACACACATAGATATATATATTTAGCATGTGTGTGTATACATATATATATAATACCTGCAAATCTAATTGTGGCAGCGCTCTGCTGTGAGAAGGGAAGTGGTGTCTGCAGAGAGGCCAGCTCTAGAAGAAACATCAAATCTTTTCGTCATCTGTTAGGCTATAGCAAACCCATGGTAGCACAAACAGGGAATAAACCCAGCATTTCTGTGTTGTTCATAGAATCATAGAACGGCATAGGCTGGAAGGGACCTCAGAGGTCATCTAATCCAACCTCCCTGTCATGGGCAGGGACGCCTCTCAACTAGACCAGGCTACTCAAGGCTCCGTCCAACCTGGCCTTGAACACCTCCAGGGAGGGGGCATCCACAACTTCTCTGGGCAATTTATTCCAAAGTCTTACCACCCTCGTACTGAAGAATTTCTTCCTAAGATCTAATCTTCAGTTCAGTGTTGCATCCTTTTGTTTTTGTCTTGCACGGACACAGATCCGGGAAGAGATTGACAAATTTGGCATTAAAGTGTACCAGTTTCCTGAGTGTGACTCTGATGAAGATGAGGAGTTCAAGCAGCAAGACAGAGAGCTGAAGGTGAGGAACCTGCTCAGCAGGGGACTGGGAAGTCTGGCTCATGGGTATGTCGGTTACTCCAGAAGGAGCCAGAGCTGCCCTGTGTTTGCCCAGGGGACAGCCTATGTTGACTCACGTGGCAGATGGCCTGGAGAAGGTGCTGATATCCTTGCTGGTGCCATGAAGTCAAGTGTGGCACAAAGACATGGCACTTCCGCTCTCTCACCAGGCAGTGTCAGTCTTTCCTCAGTCCACCCCTGCCTGTATGTTTAAGGTGGAGGCTGGATTGTACAGCATTTGTAAGCACCTATTTCTGAATGATGCTGTCAGCAAGGAGGAGCGATTTGTGAGTGATGAGGCACCACTGTGACACTTTAGTTGCATGGGGGAGACAACATGATCGTACAGGCCTGGCTGGAGGCCAGCAGCGCAGCCCTGACCTTCTCCTAAGCTGAGCCAGCCCCGTGCGTGCATGCAGTATGGCCTTATTTCTCCTGTTGGAGAGTTGCAATGGACTTTGACTCCGTTCTGAGCAGAGAGGAGCACAGCCTCTACATCCCTGCCTCGACAAGCTCTTGGCCTACAGTGTCCCACTTGCTTGGTGTCCTGGCCTCTCTGCTCTGGCTTCCTTGTAGAGTTTCCCCTCAAAGAAGAGATGCAGGCACCTGCAGAGACACAGCTTGCCTCGGGACAGCTGAAAAAGTCAGACTGGGAATTAGGCTGCCTGCAGATCCCAGTGCCTTAGGCTTTTCTCTGCAGCTGTGTTGCAGTGTCCTGTGCTGTGGCACGTGTGGATGTCCCTGTGCCTTTCCCACCAGCACCTTCCTGCTCCTGTTCTGCTCTGCCTGAGCTTGGCCCTCGGAGGAGGGATCCATTGGGCAGCCCTGGGCTGAGCTATGCTCAGCGATGCCTCTCATTCCAGGAGAGCGCTCCCTTTGCTGTCATTGGCAGTAACACTGTGGTGGAGGCAAAAGGCCAGCGAGTCCGTGGACGGCTCTACCCCTGGGGCATTGTGGAAGGTAAGCGCGGTGCCTGGGAGCTGGCACTGTGAGCGAGGGGCAGGCGGGGACAGCGGAAAGACAGGTGGGGGCTTGCAACAGGGACCCCACAGAGGAGCTCACCTCTGCACAGCTGTGCCTGGCTGTGCCAGCTTTGGCACATGGCAGGGGACAAGGAAGGGTAGAGACAAAAGCACTGGGACTGGCTCAGGAGGTCTGTAACTGGGGGTCTGGTGATCACTCTGCCTCTGAAGCCATGACAGACCAAAGAAGGGAGGCTCCAGTGTGAATGGAAGAATGCCTGGGCTTTAAGGCACTAGGACGTGGCTTTTTATTAAGGGGAGCGGCTGGGCATTGTTAGTTTAGTTTCTGGGGAGAAGCCATTGCCCTCAACCAAACTGAATTGTAAACCCTCCTGCACTTCCTCTTTCTCTGCTGCGGCTCCTGTGTGTGCTGCAGTTGCCGGGCTGGAGTCTGTGCTGATGCACAGTGTGTTTGCCTCTGTCTTCCTTTCTAAAGGGAGAGATTTCGTAGAGCCCATGGGCAGAATAACCCTGGCATGGCTTTTGCTGCTGTTGCTGACTCCCCCATGCTGGCGCATTGCTTTAAGGTCTTGCAGCTTTAGATCTCAAAAGCCTGCGTGTGCACTCATGGGCTGGTGCCGGCCGCTTGGGCTGCCCAGCTGCTGGCTCTGCTCTTTTGCTGGCTCCAAAGGGGAATGTGCCTGTCGGGCTGCTGGCATTTGGCAGTGAGATCAACTTCCTGAAGCCCTGGGCCTGACACAGCCAGTGTTCCCCAGCCCTGCAGAGAGGTACATGGAGGTCACCATGGCAAGCGCAGCGCTTCCCTGTGAAGCCCCATAGCACTGTCTGGAGCCTGGCTCCCCATAACAGCAGCTCTTTCAGCTCTCCAGACCGTTGCTTGCTCATGACTTTGCTCCTCAGGGACTGATTTTGCCTATAGAGACCTCTTGATGAGTCCTAAATTCTGAGGAGATGAGCAGTTTGCCTCCAGCACTGGCTGCGCTCACTGTGGTTATAACAATGTCCCATGTACCTGGGAGCAGCATCCTCTCTCAAGGCTCTCCTGTATGTGCTTAATTAATCCTCTCACCTAGAAAAAGTCCTGGAAACACAGTGACTTCAGCAGCCTGGCCTCTGCTTTGAGAAGCACAGAGCATCATCAAGGCCCCAGGCAGTGGTGAGAAGAGTGGGAAGAGGATGGGGAAGGAGCCCTGGGGAAGTTTTAGTCCAGCCTGGGAGCCAGGACGTGAGAAGGGGCTACCTGGAGAGGGCTGGTGAGGTGTGACAGCCAAGTGCTTTCCTGTTATTGCCTCTGCAGTGGAAAACCAGGCACACTGCGACTTTGTGAAGCTGCGGAACATGCTGATCCGGACACACATGCATGACCTGAAGGACGTCACTTGCGATGTTCACTATGAGAACTACCGAGCTCAGTGCATCCAGCAAATGACCAGGTGGGTCCCCACTGCGTACTGGAGGTGGCAGAGGTCTCTGACTCTCTGTGGAGCTGTGGTTGCTCTCAGAACGGCTCATCAGTCAGGAAGATGTGTGTCTGCTGGGGACATGCTGGGTTGCAGCCTGAGGAATGGCACTGGGAAGTAAAATAGCAAATTCAAGCGTCTCCCGCAGCTTGAACCCATGGTGGGAATGCTTCTGAGAATCCATGTTCCTGTCTGAGGATTCCTCATGCAGATCTTGGGGAAATAGGCCTGGAGATTCTTTTGAAGAGCTGTTCCTAGCACTGGGTGAAATACATCCAGCCTACTGAAATGGGATAAACTATCTGTCTGGTGAGTGATAGCTGTGTGCGTTGCCAAAGAGGAAAGCGTTCTGCAGTTCTTTGCAAATGACAGCATGACCCTTGGGATGCTGCTGTTCCTCAGACAACAGAACCCAGGCAATTAGCAAGACTCTTAACACATCTCCAAAGATTTCTCTGCATTGTCTTCCCATTGCATTTGTTTCTCTGTGGTTTCAGTCACAATGATCAGAAAATAGAAAAGAGAATACTCATGGGCTTCTCATTTGAAACCTCTTTTTTTCCTTCTCCCTTCCATGACTGAAATACTGGTGACAAATTTTAGATTTAAGTAGGTCTTGGCTCGTCTGTTGTAAACCATCCCCTTCATTTCCTGCCTGAGCTGGCTGGGTAGCTGGGTGCTGCCACGTTGCAGAGCAGAAATGGCTGTGCTTCACATGGAACAGTCCTGTATGTGTGCACACGTACAGGTTGGGACATTCTGTTCATGCACAGTGTATCTCGGTACTTTTGCATAGCAGACGAGCCTGTCTTTTTCAGCAGTGAGAATAGAGAGTCCCAAAATAACTATCTTAAATGCTAGAGCTCTGTGAGAAGTGTCACAGCTGCTATTGAGGTAGGCTGTGTATCTATTAAAAGAAGTGCATGATGAAAAAGCAATTGCTCAGCTTAAGAAAAGCTGAAGTTTGGTACCGTTTCTCACGCCATGGCTAGTTCCAGTGAACAAGTCTCAGAAAACCGAAGCGTGGCCAATTCTAGCAATGGGATAAGGGTCTTTGTCTAGAGAGGCGTTTTGGGAGGAGATCCCAAGCTCCAGGGCTGGAATTGACTCAATAATGAGCCAACGGTGACTCCAAGTGGTGAACGCTTGCAAGTGGCATCTTGAATTCCCACTTTCAGCCCAGGCGTCTTTGGCTATTACCACACCCAACTCTGACTTTTGGAAGAAAATCACCTCCTTCCTCTGTCCCCTGCCTGCCCTCGTGTGAGCCCCCCAGCCCTCATTGCAATGCTGCTCTGCTGGGCCTGTTGTGTTTCATGTCTCCCACCTCCTAATGGGAGGGCAGGCTTTGTTATCAGACTTACAGTGGTTAAACCTCTCCCCTGGGAAAAAAGAACAACATGGTGGGCATGTGGTGCCTTAGGGATGCTGATATAGTTTGTGCTGATGCTGTGTATGTGTGTAGGCACATGCACAGATGAGCCAAAGGAGACCAGCTAAATCGTCTGTAAAATGTCTCTGCTGAGCTTGCCAGTGCAGTTACAAAAGGTGGTTAGAAGCATCAGCCTCTTCTGTGCTTGCTCTCAGTGTAAGCATGGTTTGGGTTTTCTCTGTTAGCTACCCACAAGCTTCTATTTTGAAAACTTATTGACTTTAGTTTCATTCTGTATCCGAGTGCATCCCACGACTCTGGGCTAGATTGCCCACAGCCCCTTCACCTGGCTGGGTGCATGCTGCCACATGGCTGGCAGTTCTGCCATCATGAGTGACAGCTATCACATGGTGACGCCAAATCCAGCCAGCCTGAGCCATGACTGACTATGTTTCTTCCCTCTCTCTGTCTCTCTAGCAAGCTGACTCAGGACAACAGGATAGAAAGCCCGATTCCTATCCTGCCTCTGCCAACACCGGACACTGAGACAGAGAAGCTGATCAAAATGAAGGATGAGGAGGTGAGACTCATTTCTGCCTGGGCCTCCTTGGTGTTGGAGCTGGAATCTCAGGAGTTTCTCCAGGATTGCCCCATAGAGGCTGTCCTGAGGCTTCCCACTCCTGCCTGCCACCATCACGGGCTTCTGGTGTGGAGGACAGGGTGTGAAAGCTGTCGCTCCTTCTGTCAGGGAAACGTGGCTCCATTCCACCACAGACACCTCTGTGTTCAGGCAGGAGTTAATATTCTCTGAGGGGTCCCTTTGACAGCCCCAAGGGACTGTCTCCAGTGCAGATGACCAACTCCCAGCCACAGCAGATCTCTTTTTGACTATCTCCTCTCTGTCTTGTGCAGTTGCGGCGGATGCAAGAGATGCTGCAGAAGATGCAGCAGCAGATGCAGGATCAGTGAGAGGCAGGTACTCGGAGGGCAGAGGGAATCCCCCAGTGACTGTCTGAGGCCTGGCAAGAGCTGTGGACATTTAGAAAAGGTTTCCTGTTGTAGAGAGACTTGTGGGCAAGAGCTGCACCCACACCCTCTAATTTATTAGCAGCAATGCTGGCTTTGCGGTCAGCTGGATTGTGGAGGAGGCTGTTCACTTAACAGTTTACTGATGTGTATTTCTTTTTTAATAATTATTCTTTCTTTTCTTTTTTCTTTTTTTTTTAAAAAAAAAAAAAAGAAAATAGCCTAGGAAGTCTCTAAGGCATCCTAAAAAAGAAAAACAGAAAAGAAAAAGATCTCTCTTCCCCATGTACTAATGTCTTGTTTGGGAATGCTCTGGTATTTAAAGTCCTGGTTTCTCTGATGTACAAACTTGAAGACTATCTGTGTCAATGCACGTAAATGTTTACTCCCAGCTGAGGTGCTGTGCCCTCATCCCCGTTCCCCTCGTCTGGGGCCAGCACAAGCATTGTAAAGGCAGCCGTACCCTGCTGTGTGTTTGACCTGCACTGCTCAGGCTCCTCTGCCTGAGGCCAGCTCTGGCCCAGAGAGCTGGGGCTGGGCATTTCTCTGTGCACTGACCTGCTCAGGAGCCCTGATGGTTGCCTGGTTTCTGCCCAGGTTTTTCTGGGTTTTTTGGTTTAGTTGGTTGTTTTTTCCTATCAAGAAACTCCAGGATCTTTGCACTGAGCAGCAAGGGACTGATTCTGTCAAAGTCAGTTAGATTCTTCTAACTGAAGGCTTCTACTGCTCTCAGATGTCTTTCTGACAGAGAGAATAAGTTGTTGGCTATTGCCTGCAAGGAGGAGATGATGGGAGTGAGCACTTTCCCGGCTGTGGTTTCCTTCCACAGCAGGCCGGAGGTGTTGGTAGCGGAACCCCAGGGCCCTGCAGTAGCTGGGTGAGGCTATCTCATGGTTTAGCTCTGGTCATCCAGCTGCAGTGTGTCTCCAGTGTTTGCTCTGAAAAGCACCATGGCAGCCAGAGTGCTTGGCCAGGACTGCTTTGGAGGGAGTAGAAACCCTAGGGCTGAAATCCAACCCCAAATGCAGAGATGTGCCCTACTTCCAGGCTTTGCAGTCTCACAGACGCATTACTGACTCTGAGCATCTCCTGGGGAAAGGGGCAGTTTTTGGAGGCTTGTACGAGAGATCTGCAAGCCGCCTTTCCAGGCAGGTGTTGGGTAAGCCTGGTAGGTGCAGGAGTGTCACCACATGGGGCTGAGCACAGCCCAGCAGACTTGACACTTGCTCCCCTGCCCTTCCCCTGGGACTCAGCCTTTCTCCTCCTCCCTGGTTCGAGGCTTTTCCTGTCTCAGTGCTGGGAAGGCTGGTGGTTCTGCTGGGCAGAGATAAGAGCACTCTTTGGGCAGCAGCTTCTGTCCTGTTCTTGCTTCCTGCAGTATTTTTAACTTTAGTCCAGCCAGAGCAGAGCCCCGGAGTGTGATGTGCCTGACAGGGCAGACCTCACCAGCAACACTGCTGCGCTTGCAGGGTATCAGGGCTGTTGGAGGGAGAGACGCTGGCTCTTTCCTCTGACTCCAGGAAGTGCTGCCATGGGCTGGGCCCTTCTGCTCCTCTGGCTCCTGGCCTGATTCCTCTGTCCCCTTTCCCGTCCCCATTTGTACCTGCTCTTCCATCTCTGTCTCTCCCCAGTAGATCTCCCTGGGTAGGAAGCACAGTGCTGGCCAGGAATAGCCCTAAATTCTGTTAGCAGGTGCTGTGTTTTTCTGATTCCCCCCATTGGGCTTTAGAATCCTGATCAGAGCTTCTCCAGGTGGTGAGTAGGTTGGCTGGTTCCAGTTATTCACTGTACAGAGCCTCTGCTTAGCCAGAACGTGGGCTGCAGGGGCAGGGGAGAGACCCTGGCACAGAGTGAAAGGACAAAGTGAGGGTGGGAGCTCCTTGGCAGAAATGTGCAAGATGGGCAAGAGCAGCGTTCATCGGTGGGTTTTTTTATTTCATTATCCCTTTTATCAGGCTCGTAAGTGACAGTGGCAGTGTCAGCCTAGGAGCAGGGACAGGTTCAGCTTGTCATCAATAACATGCAGGACCAAGGTGCTTGAGGAGGAAATACAACCTTTCTTTGTAAGATGTGCTTAATTGATCAGTGGAGTAGCCTGAAACAGGAGCTTCCTCCAGGTTTTCTGGAACTGGTTTGCTGCTGTCCAAAGCAGGAGGACTGCTGAGTTCTCAACTTTATCCATGCTAGCATAACGGGAAACACCTTGCAGTACCTGTTCTCTATTTTCTTACACTAGTATTGTCTGTGAAGAGGATGTGCTGTTGCAAGCACGCCCTGTCCAGCTAAAGATGTTCCTCTTTCAAACATATTCATTCCTAGAAGATAAAGGAGACCTTTACCCTTCAGTATGGACATAGAGGAGCTGACAGCTTTTATCTTGGGCTGTGTGCAGAAGTGCTGTGTGCTGGTGAGAGCACAGAGTACGCTGTTCACAGGCAGGCAGGATTGTCGAGGGTGAATCTGCCCCTGTCCTTCTGGGTGAGGAAGTCTCCATCAGCTCAGTGCACATGGCTCCTACATCAAGTCAATAGTCACAAGTCTGTCCTTTACAGAATGCTGAAGCCTTTGGCTACCAGCTGGCAAAGATGGTTCAAGTTGCACTTAGGAAAAAAAAAAGCATGGGAGTGAGGCACCAGAGACACCTTCTACAGAGGGGCAGTGGTGCTGCTGAAATCACGTCCCCATGTAGGAGGTTCCCTGCCCAGTGCACCAAAGTTTGGGGGCTGCCTGGAAAGGGATTAGAGATTGACTTTGGGGGGCACCAGGGATTCAGACTCTGTCCTGGAAGGTGGCATCTGTGTATTAATAAAGGTGGCGTGTTTTGTACCGCTGTGTTGGGCTGCACAGTAAGCAGAGAAGAGACTCCTGAACAAATGTAGCTTGGCCATTTGGCTCTGGCAGTGAGAAATGTGGAAAGTAATTTAACACCTCCCTTCATGCAACCCTCCACAGCCTCATATGCGACCCCTGCACTCCCGGGCACATTCCCATGCCTCTGCCAAGCTTTGCTCTGCTGAGGGACTCACTGCCGGGGTGGTGTCCCCCTCTGCAGAGCTGTCCCAGGGTGCAGCTGGGGCTGTTGGTGTAACATCTTGGACATTGTGCCTGACTGGGGAGGGAACCGTGGCGTGAACTCCTGATGTGCCGCTGCTGTGCTGGTCCTGCCTGTGCAGTCCTTGCTGCCTCCCCGCATGCCTCCCCCCAGAGAAGGAGGGAGCCCCACTCCTCGTGCTCTGCAATGGCGTTCCCTCCTCCTCCTCACAAACCCTACTGGGCTTTAACACTGGCTTGCTCCTGCCATGCGAGTTCCACACCCCCTGCTCCATTCCTAGGCTCTTTGTTTTCTGTCCATCTGTTGGGTTATTATAATATATATTTTTTTGTAAATTTCTGTTTGAAAATTTTGTCATTGTGAACAAAGAAAAATGAAACCTTTTAAAACATATCCATTTTATTAAATGATTATTGTTATTATTATTAATAATGTTTACTACCTGAATTGATCAGTGAAATAAATACATTCAAAAAAACCCACCTCTTTCTGTTTGATTTTCAGTCTCCTTGAGCAGCATTGGTGATACATTATGAGCAGGAGAAAGCAAAGCTGACTGTTTCTCCTTTTATCCAATTCCATCAAAGCAGGCTCCAGGCAGGGCTTCCTGCATGGGATTTCTGGCCTGTGCTTATGTCAGAAGCTAGACAAGATGACCCTGAAGTTCTTCTATCTTTAAGCTTCACCTAGGAGCAGTGTCTAAATCAGCAATGGGCAGCTGGGCAGGATCCAGTCCCTGGAAATCCATTTTGTAAGTAGCCAAAGGAGCATTGCTGAGGCTGTGCTGCATGCAGAGCCAGGATGAGTCTGGCACTAGACCAGCTCCATGCCACACCTGGCCTGAGCACTTGCCTGGGAATAAATGTAGCACCAAATGCATGAGACGAGGTAAGTTTGCTGAACAAACTTACCCTGCAGTAGTCAAGCTGCTCCCAAGTGGAAAGCAGGCCCTGCAGGTAAAACTGGATACGTTTGTTAGCCGAAGATCTCTTTCCCACTCTGCCTGCCTGCCACAGTGAAGCAACTGGAATGATCTGTTCCAAATTACTAGAAATTTAAAGCTTAATTGTTTTGTTTAGACCGTCAGAATTTTTCCTTTGGTTAGGCCCAAATTCTGCTATTGTTTATGCCCTAAATTCTCTTCACATCAGCTTGTTCAGAGCGTTCATAATTTCTGCTCAGTACAGTGCGCACAGTGCATGGTAATGGAAAGTTGGGCCCAATGGGGCAAGAGTTTTGCAATATGTTTCTGGGGGCCTTGTCCTAAGGAGCATAGCCATTGTCTAGAGTCAGGCTGATGGCAGAAAAACGTCTTCGAAGGTGCGATGGTCTTGAGAAGACAAGATTGTTCCTAAATGTAGTTTTGACTCTTGGACTTATCTGTTCAAGTACTTATGTAATGCAACTTCTGAATAAAAGATGCGGTCGTCTTTCTCAGTAACTGCAAGTTGTACTCATCGAGAGCTGCTGACTCACTTGGCTATCAAAAGAGCAGTCCTTTGGAGCATTATCTTTCCCAGTCTGTCGTCTTTCCTGTGAATCTAACTATTTTGATGTAGACAGTGAAACGTCAAGAGTTATATTTTCCCCCTGTAACAATCATGAGAGGATGCAAGTGCCTGGAGGATCTTTCTCCTTGGCTCAGCTATTGACACCAGTGTGGTCACTGGAAGTCCATTTCTTTCAGCAGATCTTCCACTGCTAATTAGGAGTAGATTTGTATCACTGCTTCAAGGAAAACCTCAGGATCAGCACACTGCAAAGTGCTGGGTCTTGCCATTCTGCCAAAGATAGTCTTCCTGATGAGATGGGAAACCAAAGGCCACAGTGCTTAGGGAGTGTAGTACAAACCAGTAACATCACCTTCCAGGTTGAAATGTGTTTTGAGTTACTACTTTGCAGTCGAGACTTTGTGATGTTTCAGTTGCTCTGAGCATGTGGGCCCAGAATCATCGTTGCCAGTACTGTCTGCATCTCTCCCAGCAAACATGTTCTTGCGAGCAGTGTCAGCTCCCATTTCTTGGAAGGTTTGCTCAATGAAGCCTCAGCTTCCGCTGACATGCAGCAAACTTGCAGGAAGGCCTCATGTGGGAGGTGTCCCTGGGATGAGCCTGACCCTTATCTTGCCAGCCAGCTGCAAGGGGATTATCCAGGAGCTCAGCTATGCAGCTGCAAACACTCTTGCACTGGCTGGGCTGCCCTAAGACCTTCCTCTTGTGTTGTAAAGCCAACAAGAAAGCAAAGATTGAACTACACTGGTAAGTCAACAAAGCTACTTTCTGTTCTCTTTATTTTGTTTTTATTTGGTTGACATACTGCACAGAAAAGCACTGTCTTGTGGCAGGTATGTGTAGTTGTTCTAAAGAAGTTATAGCAGCTGGTGTGTTCAGCAGTGGTGTGAGACTGCAATACAGAGACAGCTCATTGACCCATGTCTCCCAGCACGGTCACAGCTCCAGAAGGAGATTATTCACCTGCTGGAGCAATGTCTAGCACAGCAAACACTGACCTCCACCCTTGGTGGTCAGCACCCTCTCTGCTGGCCAAGGACTTATCACTTCTTTTCAAAACTGGAAAGACTATTTTTTACTTGTGGCAACAGTAAATTTATTTCTGAATATCCTTTTGCAGTTTGCATGAACAAAGCTTTGCTTACAGGTGTAATTCAGAGCTATGATAAGGCATGAGCAGTTTCATATTCTAATTTTGATTCCTTGACATAAATTTCATTGACATAAATTTTCTTGGTCTACCCTAGTAATGCGCCTCCAGTAACGCTGAAAATATAAGCAGCTCTTGTATGCTTCTGAGGACTAGTGAAAATGAATTTGATGGCTTCATCTAAGCCTCCCAGTAGCCATCTGCTCATATCCCTCCTCAAATCCAAGGTTGGAAGACCAGGAACATTCTCTATCTTGTAATGAGAGACCAAGAATTTGTACACTTCTTTTAACTCTGTTCTTTTCAGACCTCTCGCATCTCCTGTGAAGGACACCGAATTCACTCAACTTTAGAAACTCATCCTCAGAACAAGCCAACAAAAGACCTGGGCTGTGGTGTCAGTCCTAGAGTGTGTGGTGTCTACTTGCCTGGTCTCCACCTCATCCAGTCTTACCAGGGGAGCGTTTGCAGGTGAAGATGAACAGTGGAATTCTCTTCTTGTCCCTCCTTGGCTTTGTCCCACTCGTGATACCCATGTGCCCTGTGCCATGCAAGTGTGCTACCAACATTATTGACTGCACTTCAAAAGGCCTAACTGTAGCAAAACTACCAGTTACCTTCCGCCCTTCGGCTGAAATTATCCACCTTGGTTACAACAGGCTCACCTCTATTCCCAATGGGCTCTTTGACAATCTAAAGAGCCTCCAGGTAGTCTACCTACAGGGCAACCCTTGGGAATGCAACTGTGACATCCTCTACTTGCGCTCGTGGCTCCAGTGGCAGCAGAACCGGACCTTATACAGGGATGTGAGATGCAGCGCCCCAGCTCACCTGCAGGACCGAATCATTGCCTATCTTACAGAAGATGAGATCATCTCCACGTGCCAGTACTGGTACTGCAGCCTGGCTTTCTTCTCTCAGCTCTGTCTCTTCATCTTCCTTTTCCTCCAGGGTATCTTGGTTATCTTCATCATAGTCTACCTGCAGAAATTTCGGAGAATGAGCAGTGAAGCCCGGAGCACCACTCAAGATCTACACCAGCACGTGGACACCTGGGTATCTTCTTCAAGAAGCCCCTACAACAGTGATTAACATCACAAGACTGAAGACCCTCCTCCTCCTCGCATGATGCTGTGCCAAGGTCATGTGGTTTGTGATATCCAGAGGGTACAATTCAGTGCAGCATCTGATGCTGACTGAAGTCCGAAGCGGGACTTGAACTAATCAGACAGTTGCTGTATTTCCAAAGACCTGATCTTGTGGTTTTTAATGCTTTAAACTCTTCAGCATGATCTTGATTGCTTTGCTGAGCTAGGAGTAGTTCTGGTTTGGTAGACTAAGGAAATCATAAACTACAGCAGCCAGAACTGACTCAGACTGCTCATAAACTCGTAGGGACTACAGTGCTCGATCCCTCCTATGCTAGCATATTTCAGCCATGCTTTCCACGGTGCTCTGGTCGCATTGGGTCAGATGAGGACAGAGGTGGACAGTGAACAGTTAAGGTACCGGAGTAGGACAGTGGAGAAATAGTTTCCTTGGTGCTACCACAGATTGCCTTAGTAACTTTGAACAAGAGACTTAGTCTTCTCCTGACTCAGTTTCCCATCAGTAAAAGGGAAAGGATGTTTCTTCTTGCCTGATGCATCTTTTCCAATGTTCTCCTGGCAGAAGGAGGAGGAGGATGTTTAAAAGCCTACTCATTTACCCTATCTTAATTCCTTTTAACCTACGGATAGTTTTAATACTGACTTCGACATGTACTTGGTCAGCTTGGGGCCCTGAATGTTTGTGAGAAATTCACCCTCAAGCCAAGGGTTGTTGAGACCAGAGGCTGTTTCTGACTGTGCTTGTACAGCGCCAGGCACAGGAGAGCTGATCTTTTTAGAGACTCGAACTGCAAAACCCATGAATGTGCCTACTGCTGGTTATGGTGTCCCTTAATTATTTTTGGAACGAAGTAAAATTGAAATAAAATAATGATGCGTGATGATGTAAATGGCTTATTTTTCCATTCTACACCAGGTAGGGATCGTGCACACTCTCTCCTGCACCCTGGCAGTTTCTCACACTTTACACTCAGCCTTTGTTCTGAGCAAAACACTGCCGAAGGCAGGTGGACATGTTACCAGAAGCGCACCACAGGGTCAAACTTTGACAGTCACCGGCTTCCACCACGGGCCAGTCTAAATGCGGAATTTCTTCTAGTTCCACCAAGTTGCTGCCTATTTTTCCACGCTGCGGGCTGGAAAGGGGAGGGCGTTTCTGGGTGCGAGCGCGCCCGTAGGGCCATGGCCCTGCCGGCTGGGGGCGAACGGCCCCGTGCCCTCCGGCCCGGCCCCGGGGGGTTCCCGTTCTCCTCCGCGGCCCTCAGCTCGCACGGAAACCCCCGTCTGGTGACAG